TATATATATATATATATATATATATATATATATATATATTGATTTAGATTTAGTCTAGTTTATTTTATATTATAAATTATATTAATTAACATTTCTATACTTAAGAATTTATTTCTCAGATAGAATATATACTTAAATTATTTTAAAAATAATTAAAAATTTATCACTAAATTTATTTAATTGAGATTTATTATTAGTCACGTTAATAAATATTTTACACCTATAATGTAATAATAAAAAAATATTTACAAAAATAATGTGGATAATTTTTTACCTTCTAAATAAATAAAAAATTCACCTTCAGAAACTTAGTCTCCTTTCTGATTTGTTGTTGTTAAATTATTAATTTAGTTATCAAAATATAATTTATATTATTTTAGCTGAAATTAAATACCTGTGAATTTAGTTTTTAATTTTGTTAATTATAAGTTATTTTAGTTTATAACCTTAATACACACATAAGTTACATAAAATATAAATTGATTGATGTTTATTATAAATTTAACTATTAAAGAAATAATCAACTTTTTAGTTTAAATTGTTTAATAATTATTAACATTAAAAATTAAATGCATTATGTTGAAAATTAAATAAACTGATAATTGTAATTTTAAAAAATAACTTAATGTGTTACTCATTTGATGAGATTATTTTTGTTTAATGTAGGTTCTTATATATACTTTATTAAAACTAACATAAGTGATTTAGCGTGCATCTATATTTTAAGTCATGGAATTTATCTAGTGATCATAATAATATCATGTAGTTCCTGTATGTTGGAGTTATTTTATGATATTTGTCTGAGAGGTTATTTTATGAGAGTTATTTTTATAAGGTTATTACATAAACATACTTTACAATAATGAGATATTGTCCGCTTTAAATCTAAGCCTTCACAGTTTTGTTTATGGTCATTACCCAAAAAGTCTATTTGTCATTAAAATATATTTATGTTATATAAATTGTTATTTTTTATTTTATTTTATCGATGTGATCCATATTTTTTTGCTACCCATCCATTATCTTTCAACAAAGCATAAACCACAAACAATCTCTAGAATCAAGTTTCATTGAACATAGAGTTGACCAACTAGCCTTTCTACCATCGGATTGGAGGTGTAGTGCATCAGATTGAAAGTGCAATGCACGTATGCAAGAGGAGAGAGGATAGAAGGGCAAGGGAGGAGAAAGAGAAAAAAATTAGTACATAATGAGGCAATTCGGGTATAGGTTTCTCAATAACCTTTCCTATTTTTATTTATATATTCTATACTAATCCTCATTTACGTATTTGTTGGATATAGAGTATTTTCATATTTATTTAATATTTGTTCAAAGATTAATTCAAAATTATTTTTTGTAAAAATATATAAAAAAATAAAAATTTTAACATAAAATAATAATTATAAAATTACATTAATTAAACTTTATTTGACATAAATTAAAAATAAAGTAAGAAATTATATAAATTTTAAAGAAGAAGAAG